TTCTACCTCCAAAAATGCGTTTTATTTAAAGAATTGCTCATATATGCTACCGTTGTTGCGCGTGTATATGTCCTTTTTTGTCTCTCGCTTGTACGCAATCGAAGTCGTTGGAAAAATTATCTTCGGAAGAAAGAGGAAATGTTTTTATACAGAGAGAGCGTCGTCATGTCGTCCGAAAAGTTTTCGGAACGATCCTCGCCGTAAATATAGCCATCGGTTACCGTATATAACACGAAAATAAGTAGAAATAGTGTGTACGGCTGGTTACTCGAGACAGTTTGCGGTTGTATTTCTCCATCAACATCTCTCGATGCGTGATCGATCACTCTCCCCTGCAAGACCCGATAAGTTGTCTTACCGACGGCCCCACGCGCGGTCTATACTTCCTATCTGTGCGTGTGTGTGAGTGTAGAAAGATCCATCGCATAATACCTTCATAGAAAGTTTCTCTCGATCCGTGGAGTAAAGTTCAATCCCTGTACCTTCCCTCTTATACCTAATCGATTGCTTCAAAATTTAAGAGGCTCCTATCCGCGCGCGCGAGTACCTAAAACTTCGGAAAGTATACGGCGCGGCTATATAACGCAGCCAGCTCTTCCGTATACGTACTCGATAACGTCTGAAAAAGTGTCGAAAATAGAAAATTTTCTTCGTGCGTCATTTTGCACGATCGTTAAGTCGGCAAAAAAAAACAATCGATGCAGAAATCAGGGCCATCTCGACTTAAAAATTGTCTCGAAGCGTAAAAACGATATAAAGTTACGTACGCGAATACATGAGATTCATCGAAAAGTACGATAAAAATCGTACGATGTACGACTCGAACGTCAGCGCGTATCGAAGTGTGTTAAATTTTCGAGTCTAATATAGGGCAGTATCTTCGCGAATAGCTAGAAAGCTCATATTCTATATGAGCAAATCCGAGTCTTAAACAACTCGAGCTCTGCAGCTGTATATAATACAATGAGTTTTTATTCTTTTTTTCACTCTGCGAAAGACTAATGCGCGTCACACGTATAAATTTGCGATAGAGAGAAGCCGGGAAGTGCAGCGGTAGCAGCAGCAATTCATTCGATTCGTTTCGCTCGATCGATTCCAAGTGCACTGCAAGTCGCTTTTTTTTCCTCTTTTCGAGTTGGCCATTTTTTTTTTACTCACCATGGTGCTCTCACACCGCGCGCCACTGATGCGTTACAATTTTTTATCTGTTTTAACCCAGATAAAAGAGTATGTATGTGATATAGGCTGCGGGTAACGTTTTTTTTTATACAGCGCGATATCGATTAATGAAAAGAGGTGTAAAAGTACTTAATAACGAGCGTGTCGTCGTGAAAATCACCGTGGCTTGCGCGCAAAATTTTCTCCATTACCCTCGTGGCACATTGGCTGCTGGCTTTAATGAACTTCAGGATTGAATTACGATAATAATGCGTGCGTACAGCACGACCCATCTTCTTGTTTACGATGTTAAGTTTGAACCTACATACATTTATGCATTAGCTGCTGCTGCTGCGCCGAGATTAAGCAAATTTCACGAGCAAAAAAGTATATGCGCGGTGTGCTTTTACTGCTTCCCATATAACGGTAATATAGATTCCTAAACAAGCGTGTCGAATCTCATTCGATTCGAAAACGTACGTCTCGCTGCACTGCACCGTTTTAATGGGTCACTCGGACGCGCGCCGACGAAGATTGAACGGTTTTTGTCAATGGAGCTCGTCATTTTTTTAAGTTCCTCACTCTGCTGTACGCCGTATTATTAAGCACTTCATTAACATTGTGTCAATTCTTATATCGTTCCAAAATCCTGTAGCAGGCACGACGACTCGTCGACTCGTGAAATTCAACGTTATGAGTTCTATTCTTCATCGCAAATACTGGCACACGAACTGGCAGAGAGACGTCGCGCGTTCGTGTTGAAGCCAAAGTCATTGCCTCGTCGATTCCCATCCGGTATAATATTCGTATGAAAATTCATGCGAATTTTTTACCTTTTTTCCGTCTATATAGCTCGTACAAAAAAAGCATTAAGCGGATCAACCCCATTGACGAAAAAATGGCAAAAGTTATATTTACCCGGAGTAATTTTTTTTTTCCTCTTATTTTAAACCCGTGTAAAAACTGAAAGTAAGCTCGAAGCGCGCGCGTTTATATGCGTGCTAAAAGCCGGGAAAATCGTAAAATGAAATTTACTGCGCAGACACAGGGCGTACAATTCAAATATCGACGTTCTCATTTCAATCGTTTTCTCTTTCTCGAGTCCCGCGCGGACTAAATATAATGGTCGGGGGGCCCCGCCATAGGGATGTTATATAGATGTGTACACGCTAGCGCGCGTACGGCGCATAGCACATAGCTGCAGCAATTAAATTCAGAAAACTTCCACGCCTGGTCATTAATGCATATACGTCGTCGTGGCTGCTGCGAACTGCCTCGCGCTTAATATGCCGCTGACCTGTACCCGAGCATTCCCGACAATAGGTATATGTATATGCAAAAACATAGCGCACGAAGAGAGGCATGTACGGCGTTGCAGACTCCTCTCATTTTTTCTCTTTTCCTTTTTTGTTTTTTAATTATCGCTGCACTGACTTTTTTCTTTGCGTTTAACAGACTTTGAAAATTTTAACAGATCTACTACACTTTCGTTGTGCATCGAACACCCCGTGCAATTTGTGAATCGACCCCGGCGCTTCGATTCAATAATCTGCGCGCGAGTATACGGATCGACCGATTCTCTTCGTGTAAGGCATCGCGAGATTCAACCCCGTAATAAATTTTTATAAATAAAAATGAAAGCCGGATAGCAATTTAACTTTGCGATTCTTTTCCAGCCTTATATATACGCGTGTGCATAGCTTGCGGCAACGTTTTTTCGCGGTTTGCCTTAGCAACGACGGTAGCGGCGGCGGCGGCCGCTCGACGGCATATACGAGACGCGCGGGCAAATATAATAAAGCTAGAGAAAAAGGAGAAAGAGAAAAAAAAGGAAGAAACGGTCTTTTGTCTTCGTATTATGTATTCGAAGTCCTAGCGCGCGAGGTACAGAAAAAAAAATGAGGGATCAGGACGTAACGCCGAGCGCACTCGGAAATGAATGTTGCTGGCGCGTTAGTTTTTTTATCCTGCAAAAGAGAGAGAGAGAGAATGGAAAGCCACACCTCGCGAGAAGAGGAGCTGTTGGAATGAGCTTAAAAAAAAGATGAAGGTAGCAGAGGGTTTACGAAAACTTATGCCTTCATATTCTGGCTTTGTTTTGTATGAAGACTCATGCGCGGCGCTCGTAATTAATGATTTTCTTTCGGTCGTATTCAGTAGTCAAAAAAAAACGTCATCATAATTTGAAGATGCGTCTTTCTGCAGATTTACCTAGTGCCAGGGATTATAGATTTTCAAAGTATTAAAAGCTCGGATTTAAAGATAAAAAAAATATAAATTGACTCAAAATTCGAAATAATAACTCCGTGGTTAACGTTTGTCGAGAGTTATCGAGGCACTTCAATAACTTTTCCCGCACCCTCGCAGTGTCAACGTTTCGAAAATCAACGCTAAAAATAACGCATTCGAGCACTCGTGAGCATTGAAAATTAAATAAAAAGTAAAAAAACAAAAAATCCGGCACTCACTTCTCACGCAGATACGTAATATATCGCGTATACGAGAAACATTATTTAATTTGTGCCCAGCTCGAGTCGATGCTGTATGTGAATATAGCAATTGCAAAGCGCGAAAATAACTCATCTGCGAGAGTGCAGCGCAGTATACCCACCGAACGCAGCGATTGTAATTGCCCACTCGGCGCGTGCACCCGCGAGTTTTAATGTAAATTGAAATAATGGCGAGAAAACACGTATACGTACTCCATGCCGCGCAAATGACACATTATAGAACGTGGTGTGTATATATGTACATGCACGTGGTACCGAGACAGACCACATGGGTCCTATTATCATGCACGTATTTTTTAAGTGATGCTGCATACGGCAACGAGAAGAAAGCCAAAGCTGATGACCTTTAAAATTCACTTTCACTGTCAAGTCTTACGCGGGTACATGCACCTGTAATGCCGCGGATACTCGAGCGGTTTTATTTTTTACCGGACCGTTTTAATTTCGCACGCGTTATATGCAAGAGTGGTATTGCTTGTCGAAGCGAGGCGCGGACGCTCGTAAAATCGTCAAAAGTTAATGTTTCTCTACGTGTAGTTGCAGGCGCGTAATATGCACCGGCATACCTTTAATAGTTCGGACTTTAACGATTTTAGTATTGTTCCTGCCGTTTTTCTATCAAAAACGAACGAATTTCTATATCTTGCCGCAACCGTTTTCATCGTTTTATTATCGCTGTTTATAATCGAAGCAATTTCGATAATTATCATATTTTCGTTACTTCGCAATTATTCATGCGTTTCCTCATAGTTTTGGCCAGAAATCCAAACTAATTTAAAAGACCGAAAAAAATCAGCGACACGCGGTGTGTATTGTCGGGTGGTGCAACATTGTTTATGGATTATTTCGCAACCGTGTCATAGGATTTATGGGCGCGCGTGCCTGGGCACAGTTCCCTATGCGTAAATCATGTATCAGTGGATTCGCAGTTGTTTTCATTTTTCTTTTTTTTTTTCGAATGACCGCTCGAATTTCGTCCATGAGTTTTTCAATTAGTGAAGCGATCGGTCTATACGGTATCGACAAATCCCATGCTCTGCCCTCGACGTACAATTTTTTCAGAGTTTTACTTATTAAGACTACTCTTCCGAATGATTACCTACAGACGGATTCTTCGATCGTAGACCCAGTGGCGCGCGATCGCGGAGGGAGGTGTACACCAGACATTGAAAATACACGGACGTATTCGAATTCGTTGACTAAACGATTATTTTTTTAGTAAAAAATTGACGTATCGAAATCCCCGCGATGCAGATGTACAAAAAAAACAACGGCACAAAACGGAATTTAACCGTGAATCGGAGCGAAGATAGAAAAGCCAAAAATACGTACCGTGAGATTTTAAAAATCCTTTGTGCACATTCAATTTTTTATCACCAAAAGCAAAACAAAACAAAAAAGCAAAACGTATTCGTCGAATTGTGCCTGCGAGAAACACGAGAAGCTTGTTGCATATAATATATATCTGTCTATATAACGTGTCACAAGAAACTCATATAAACGGAACACGCGCGTATACTGCTGCTGCCGCTGCTGCTCGTTGTCAATCCGTCACTTTGACACTCGCACCAAATTCATCTCCGCCACGGAGAGCCACGAAAATACGAGACGACACGAAAGTCTCGCAGGAATGAAGGCTTGGGCAAATATATATACTCGGCGAGGCTAAGCTGCAATGGTCGGTCGCCGTAGTAGTAGTAGTAGTTGTTGCAAGTCCCCTTCCTACCGGAGTCGCAAATAATGTACGCGTTGGCAATAATAATGGTACCTGTGCCTGGAAAGTCGCACCTAGGGTCTCTCTTTCTCTGTCGCTCTTGCCAGAGACGAGTCCGAGGAATGACTAATGATCGATTTTGCGTGCAGAATTGCGTAGTTGCGGAGGATCAAAAAACTACAAGTGATGCTGCTCCTCGCCTTGAATGATCTTTTTACTCGAGCTACGGAAAAATTGTTGTTTTTCAATGATTTCAATTTTTTCTTTCTTTTTTTGCGATGACACGATGTGAATAGCGCTGATGAGTGCTTTCGTAATTACGTAATTAAAATTTCATCGACTTCAATGAATTTCCGCACACAAATCTGGGAAATCCGATACTTTTTTTCAACTGGTCGAATTTTTCGAGATACGAGAGGCAAACATTTTGTAACGCGCTCAACAATCGGAAAATAAATGCAAATTGAAAGCAGCATCCAACGAAAAATTATTATTTTTTCTCCATCCACATCAAAGGTCGCCCAGTATTTTCACATTTACGATCGTCTAGGTTCGCCTGGGTATTTTTTTTACGAGCGCTTGCGAAGTAAATTTACGCGCCATTAAATTCTCGCTTGCATTTTTTCCACTGCAACTCTTCCCTCTTCATCCTTATCGGCGCTTCGCATCTTCATTTCGATACTTTATTAGAGTTTTTCATGCATCAAAATCGATACACTCAAATACATCGTACGAATTCGTTCATTAACTTTTTCTTTCGTTACTTCGTTATTTTTCCGAACAATACTGCATTTTATTGAAGGAAAACGTAATATATATGGAAAATCGATCTCTCGCTGATCCGCTCGGATGCGCTGGCGCGCGTGGACTCTTTTTTTGCCGCAAACAAAATTAAGCGCTGCTATGCATAGCATCTTTTACTGCTGATTGCGTCATTATGTTTACGCGCGCGTCGCGCAGCGCAGCGAAGAAGTTTCTTTATCGAAGACGCCGTGTGTAAGTTCATGTAAGTCTTATGGGATTCGAACGGGAGATATAAAAAAGTGCAATAAAGGACTTTTTTATTTGCTCTTGAAAAATCGCGCGATTTTGTAAGCAACGAGATCTGCGCGACGCTGGCATATATGCGCTCGAGTTTATAAAAAAAAAAGTTACCGAAGCTCATCAATCTTGAATAAACCCGTGGCGGGGATGAGCCGATACGGTTAGGCCGCGGGTAAAAAATTATTTACGATCGCTACACATTTTACCTCGTGTAAATTCGAAAATGCGCGCCTCTCTCGCGAAGTGCATGGCTGTTCATTTTCCGAAAACGATACGAGATACAGCAACGATAATGATGTACACACTCCGACGAAGATCATCACGTGTGCGAGAGATAGTCAAATCGATCGGTAGAAAATTTATCATCACGAAAGATATGCACCAAAGTTTTCACGAGAGCGTCTCATGAATACATTAAATTGGCGCGCGCGTGCGTGGGGGCCAAAGGTGCTAGTTATCAATTTGGTACATTGAATGTATAATGAGCGAGAGAAAAAGAGCGATCGGTTGGACGTGTGCCTCGACCGCGGGCGCGCGCGCGCACACAAATGATATCGTGAAAAATGTCTCGTATAGCTGCTGTACTCTCCTCGTGCTTCGTATGGAAATCTAATGCAGCGAGCTGGCACGATACAAAAGTTTTCGAAACATCTCGAGTTATTCGCCCCGCCGAAATTTATGCCATGTATTATTTAAAACTTTCGTTGAAAAATTATCATCGTTGGCGTACATCGGGGTCCACGCGGATTCGTAAATTAGAAAGTAATACGAAAAAGTAAATCCACAAAAGAAAAGTAAGACGATCGATTCGTTTCTTTCCACACTTTTTTTTTTGCCCGTATACTGCCATAAGCTATTCAAACGAATCGTAGGATATAGTTTTTCTCGTCTATGCAGCAGCATCTCGCGTTTCGAAAGGGGATCGCTGGCGCCTGCCTACACACTATATATCTATGGACTATGATTTGATTTTTCATGAGCCACTAACCTCTCCTCTATTTACTGCGCGGGCTGCATACGGCAGGCAGGCACGAGGACGATGACTCTCGCGAGCGCTGCCTCAGCGGCTTTTCTTTACGCGCTTCACGCTCAATTTGGCAATCGGGTTCTCTCTATCGCTCGTGCCGCACACTTTGTATCGCGTATACTATATTGAAAACCCATATTTTGATATATAGTTCGACCGATACAGATGAATACGGCTGCGGTATGGCTTATATCGCGGTTGTCTTTGATGCATAAAAGTGCGCGCGGCAAAGTGGCGCGCGCGCGCGCCCGAAATCATGCAGCGCATTTATCAAACGTGAACATTTTTTTAATTATTTCAACGCGTTACTTCCGCTGCATGTCTCTGCTGATGACACACTCCGGGGGTTTTTTTTACATTTTTTTTTTATTATTTTAACAATTCCATCGAGATAACTCTTGCATTTTTATCGCGCGAAAATTGCATTCATCTACGTGCATTGTGCGGCCCGAGCTTTATCAAATGTATAAAGCCGCAGCTGCGTACGCGCTACAAATGTTGCCATTCATCAGCAGCTGCGAACTGACGCTGCTGCTGCTTCTGCTCTGCGTTATTTCAGACCAAAAAGTCGTGATGAAATTATTATATATTTTACACAAAAAAAAGAGAGAAAGAGGATCGTTTTTTGCGTGTCTGTATAACGTGTGTGTTAAAATCATACGTATATATCCCGAGCCGCGGGTCAAAAATGGTCGTACGAACTTTATATGCTCGGAGCAAGTTTTGGGGATTTTAGAATACATTATTATCGCGCACCAGGTACCTACAGGAGTAGTAGTAATAGATCCGCATTCGTATTTATAGATACGCATATATATATTGTTCAGACGTTCTCTGGGGAGGCGCAAAAAGCTCGGCGTACATACAGCAGTTTGACTCGCTTTGGCCGCGCGTCGCGTCGCGTCGCACACACCACTCGAAATTTCCATAGGTGGGCTGTGCTGCTGCTGCTCTTCTTCCTCGAGAGTAAGGCAATGAAAATTATTAAATGTCCTCGCCCCGACAGCTACACGGGGACCTATAAATTTCCGAGAATTTATACCGAGGAGACGTCGGACTACGTATAGGTATATAAAATAGCGCTGCGCTCAGCTCTGCGTGGGCGATAATTATCACGCGATCCCTGCGAATGAAAATTCGAATAGGTCTCTGCGGCTGATTGTTTTAGCCCCGCCGAAAATTTGTTACTTTTCGTGTGTTTTCTTTTCGACCGTGGGGTAAGGATTTATTGAAAAATTTTAATTTTTAGTATAAATTTAAAATATAAGTGTGCCACGTGAAAGCATCGTTATTTTTTAATCGTATGCATGCTGATTGTCACGGTTGACTGAGTGACGCGTTTCGCTGGATCTTCATTAACGCTTAAGAAGTTGCTCTCGCCAGCCGACGACGACGACGACACACAGGTCCCTGCAAAACGTGTACGCGTACTATATTTACAGGAGAGCAATTAAATTATAAAATATTCATCGCGCCGTGCAAATGCGAGAAGTTAAAAAAAAAAACCAAAAAGTAAGAGAAAAGTCTAGCCGGGGTGACACAAGAGGTTAATTTCCAGGAGAAGTAGCTGCTGCTACTGCTGCTACGTGTGTACAAGTGCAAAAACACAAATAAGTTAGTCGTTGCGATTGCCATGACGCCCGCACACACACAGTCACGAGTTTGCATATGTGCGCGCTTGCGCTGGATAGTACTTATACATAATATAAAACTTGAGCGGCACAACTCGTTGGGTACTACTACTACTACTACTACTACTCTCGAGCGTTGAGAACTCCGCGGTAAGATGAAACTCGAGAGACCCGATGAGCGCAGAGGTGCACGTAAAAGAGAGAGAGAGAGAGAGAGAGAGAGAAAAAAAAAAGAGGAAAAAGAAAAAAGGAAAATTTCTGCACGTTTAAAGACTTGGCTAAGAAAGAGAAACTGTAATGGAGAGATCGTAATACTCGCCCTTGGTAGCGGCCCTCGACCCTCGAGTCGTAAGTATTTAGGAAACTCGATGATTAAAAGTACGCGAAAGCTCGAGGTGTAATATACACACTCGGCGATCGAAGGGAAAATTTAATTTCTTTTCTGCGCTGCAGCGGCTCGAGTTTGAAATAGCCACGCGCGCGGGCGTGTAATTGAAAATTTCAAGTTGTAAGAGAACGCGCTCGTACAGAGATTCGACATTTTTGGACAATCTGTTTCGTTGATTATTTACTCGCTCGCAGATATATAGTGAATAGCCTCGCGAGAAATCGATTCGATGCATTCAAAGAGAGAGAGAAAGAGAAAAAAAGTCGTACTTGACATTTACAAATCGCACATGCACATAACGTACTCTGTAACGTTACGCGATCCATGCGCAATTTTTTTGCTCCCGCGCGCAGTCGTTTGCGCGATTAATTAAATTCATCGGAGATACATTCTTTAATACAAAAAGCTAATTCGAAGCGCGCGTCATACGATATATGAAGTCATGAATACATTGGGACGAGCTCGAGATCGGCGAGACGTCGCGCAGCAATCGACTAATGGAAGCTGCTCGACTCTTGCGAGCTCGAGTTCTCGCCTGCATCCGAGGCAGGAGCCTCGACTCCGTATTAGAATATGACACAGGAAACCATCTCCCCGACGTGTACTACGTACAGCAGCAGCAGAAGCTGTAGAAGCTAGCTTGATTAAGTATGTAACGCGCCCGAAAATGGAGATATTAATGTTGCAGCGTGGCGTGTACCGCATATAACTGCATCAATTATGATTTCGCGGCTTGCGTCTCGTCGTATATTGACGCTTCAATATTCCAAAATACGACTCTGTATATACAATCTCTCTCCCGAATCCGCTGCCGCGCAACTCGCTCGAGCGCGACAACGACGATACATAAGTTTTCCGCGCGGCGCGTCTTCGTCGAGTGAATTATCGTACATTCGTCACCGAGGATGAAAACACTCGCGTTCACCTGCAGAGCTGCGCCGCTACACCGGGGGGATGCGATGACATTTTTCACGCACACGTACGCTACGTGAAATTTTCAACTACTCCGTATGCCGCACCTATAAAATATATTTATAGCGCTTCAAAAAAATATTTTCTCCCATTAAAGGCTATTAACTAGATCGTCCATTAAGTCGCGAAGAGAGGCGCCACATAACCCCGACGCGACTGATTTATATGCTCTCTCGCGGATGCACCTCGTTGCCGAAAAAGTGTCTCTCTGTGTCCACACGCGTGCAGCATAAACTGGCGATTCATTTTCTAATTCGACGAGGAAAAAAGTATCATCGAATTCGCTGCAGTTTTCACGGTAGTTTAGAGGATTTCGAATCTTTATTATCCGCGGCATGATTCGTTAGGTCATTTTTTAGAGGATATCGCCCGAATAGCTGTTACACTTTTTTAATAATAATAATAAAAAACCTAGAATTATAGTTTTCGATAATCCCGATCTCGCGGTAAATCTTCGAAATTTTCTTGCGGGCGAGGTCGAAGCTTTTATACGCTTTTATCATATATATACGACGGTAGATTAGAAACGCATTCTCCGGATGGCAATTTACGTTTGCTCACGACGACGACGACGACGAGATCGCAACGAAGAAGAGAGCCTAGCTCTCTTATTCGAGCACTCGCGCGCACCTATAATTTTTCGGCTTCCACCGCCGGGGACGTTTATTAGTATGGCCGGACGATAAAAGCCAGAGAGTCTCGAGCGCCGTGCCAGGAGCTCTGCGGGTTATAGATATTATCCTTATTATTATTATTATCATTATACGTTCGATTGGGAAAATATACAATTGGTGCGGTGCAGTGCATAGTGGCGTGTAGCGCCAAGCGCACAAAATCTCATCATTTTCCTCGAGGCTATTCATCATCGTTGCGGACGCGCGCGCGGCGAGTTGACTATCCGTTTAATCCGGCGGCGATGCGCCGATCAACCCCAATCGTCTCGTCAAACTTTTTCGTCCACCACTACCAACGACGCCGCCGCCGTCATGGAAAAGGGAGAAGAGAGTGAGCCGAGAAAAAAGTCGATCTCTCTCTCTCTCTCTATCTGGAAAAATTTACGACTCTTCTTTGTGCGTCCAATACAAGTGCACACGGGGTGGAGAATATAGAGCTTTTCTATATCTTTTTTTCAGCTGTATATAGCTCGTCCACCAGTATATAGACGATGTGTAATCCAGCGCGAGAGTCGAACGCGCGCGCGCGGCAACTGCCTTATATACACCTTATATATCTATAAGTGTATGGCTTCATTCTTGAGTCGTCTTCCTCCTCCTTTTTTACACTCTCTATATATGATTTATAATGCTCGTGTCTTTCGATTTTCCAGCGATAATGTTTTTAAGGAAGTTGCGCGTCCCTCTTCGGGATTGTTTTTTTTTCTTCTTCTCTTTCTTTACACGCATTCCGACAAACCGCGAGCAATACCCTGGAGCATTTGACGTTTCTCCTTCGTACACAGCCGCGCGTGTGTATAGCCGTGCGAGATTTTCCATTTTTCGCTTCCTTATTTCCGACTTTGATCCATTCTCACTGTTATTATTTTCTTTTTTATTTCGAGAAGCACGACTGGGAAAGTGCGAATCGTTTTACAAGAAAAATAGAACAATTTGAGAATAGATATATTCGCGAGTCTTTGCGAAGAGTTACGGAATTGTGGTCGCGATAATGTACGCTCGTATACGCGACCATTACGAAATAGCTGGCAAATATTAGCCACGGCTCGTTTTCCAAGCCGTGTAGCGAGGGAACATTGTTTATACGCGCCTGTTTTCTGTATGTATACGACTGATTATCGCGTATTCCATTGAGCGCGCGCACAGGTTTGAGTTTGTACAACAAGTTTCTTCTTTTGTTTGTCGAATAATATACGTTGAAAAACGATCTCTACTCTATATCGGGCCGCGTCCACCATTGTGCGAGTCCGTTTCTCGGGAAAAATATCACCGTGGTATATACAGGAAGCTATATAAGCTCCAGACTCGGTCCTCTCTCTCATTCGAGTTTTTCGCGTCCATCTAATTATTGAATTTAATTACCTTTATCAAGCACGGGGAGCGGGAGGAGGAGACCAGAACGAAAGGTATTTTCGCGTCAAGCTAGCCGTGCAAAAGCGTAATTAGCCGAATTAAAAGCTTCTTTGGAGATTCGCTGGCGCGCATCAATGTTATACGCCGCGCCGCTGCTGCGCTCGTGCTGCTAATCGAAACGGATTTTTGAGTTGAGGTATAGATATATGAAATAACTAACCGACGTTTGAAACGTCCATTATCATTTTAATTCGAAGAATCGTCAAAGAACTTTTTTTTTAATTAACGTCGATCACCGAATAACCACGAATTCTCGGATCATTCACATTTACAAACAAGCTTTACTCTAAAAATATTTTTAAAAATTAGTGTAACAATTTGCCATATAGGTAACAATCGTATCTTTGCGCTGAGCTACAAATACGCTTTACATCTCGATTCGCGGCTGCTCGCGCGCGTTTAATCGCTTTTTTCAGCCTTCGACCTCGTGCCGTCGCCCTTGCTTTGACTGATTTTCTCGATGAGATCCTTGCTGGGCGATTTCAGATCGTAGGCCCAGCCGATGCGGGCCATCAGCTCGATGAAATTCGTCGAAAACGTGCCGGGCAACTCGGCGGCTTTGTAATCCCAGGGAAAGGCATGATGGTAGTTGTGCCAGCCCTCGCCCAGCGAGAAAAACGATACCCAGCCGTTCTCGACCGCTCGCACATCCCTGAAATCATCCATCACATTAAAATTAAGATAATTAGTAATGAGGTAAAAAATATATTACCAATGAGATAGACAAACTAAATTATAATATTATTGTTACTGTGTCACTTGCAGATTTACAAATAAAGGTACTCGCCATCTAGCGGTAGAGGCTAGCCTTAAATATGATGGAATATTTAGAGAAAAAATAATACAATTAACTTTCAAAACTAAATCAGTATTGAAACATTTACAATCAAAATGTTTAAATTTTTTAATAGAATTAAATATTTTTTGTTTATTTCTACATAAAAAATAATGCTTTTGATTGAATTTTTCTGCGTTTTTATGCATTTTGTGTAAGAAAATAAATCAGTATGATTATAATAAACCTGAATTAAATTTAAGGTTTTTTTATAATATATATAGTAGTTTAGAGGTGCGTATGAGAAGTACACGAACTTGGTGTAAGGTTTGTTGCCAAGCATGTGAGCAAAACTGTTGACGCTGAACGTCGCGTTGAGCATGAACACGTAGCGCAGCAGGGTGGCGAAAAAGGCGATGTCAAAGCGCTCGTTCCAAAAGTAGACGGGAATCAGAGTCGGAAGTATGAAGCACAGCAGCGACATGTTGATCTCGTAGTATCTGCGAAATCAGACAATAATGACTTTTGATTGTATAATAAACATCAATGCGAGATTTTTTATTATTTCATCATTCGTATACTTGTCGAAAAACTGAATGACCGGATCGTTGGCCACGTCGCTCATGTCGATCTTCTTGCCGTACTCGATAACGGCCGGGTGGCGCTTCATCATGAGCCAGCCGACGTGCGAGAAGAAGAAGCCGCGATCGGCGTCGTGCGGATCAGCCTTGGTCTCGGTGAACTTGTGATGAGTTCGGTGATCGCGAATCCACTTGAACATGTGCGTCTGTGTGTGTAGCGGTGATAGCAACGGCGGGAAAAAAATTTTCATCATTATCGTGAGCTCCCAAACTACTCTAGATATATATGTGGAATGGGGCGAGCTACGTATAATAGCGCGCGCTTGCGGACGACAATTATTATTACCTGACCGACCATACAATAGAACGTGGCCAAGAGTATTCTGAGTGGCAATTTGGCGGAATAGCTTCGATGAGCCCAGAGACGATGGGCGCCCGCAGTCACTCCCACGCCCGAGATGAAAATGTGAGCGATCTCTATAACCGACAGTGGCCGGGTTACACATAGTCGAGTCGCGATTACAACGGGTTGTATTATATTTTTATATACATATATTATGCCACGTAATTCGTACTTATACTCACCATAGATCCAAGTTTGCCATTTGCCCTGATTGTATCTGGTGAAGAGTCCGTAAAAAGCCACGGCGTGCAGCAGAGCGATGCCGAATATATTGAACCATATCAGTGGCTGCTCGTGCTCGCGCAGCTTCTCCAAAGCGGCCACCTCGGCTTTCTTCAGCGGCTGATGGTCCTCGAATCGATGCTGCTGCTTTTCACCTCTATTATTCGCGGCTTCCTCGTATTGCATCGTGATCGTTGAGCTGTACATTTTTCACGTCCAACCTGCGCGTATAATATAAAATTGCGAGTGCATCGAGCGAGCGCATTTTTCTCGGAGCAGTGTACTACATCGTATCCGCGCATTTTCTCCGATATAGAGTGTCCCGGGAGCGGTATATCTATAAAAGCTCTAACGGTGCTGCGCAGCTTTGTGCGTTGCACCCGAGCGACGAGATAGCGGTCAGATCGCGCGCGGCATTCCTCGAATACTTGGGATGTTCGTATTGTACACGATGTAAGATACACAGAGGCAGCTTCCCTCTGTGTGTCTATAAGGTCGCACGGATCCTCCCTTTGGCATTGCCGTGTATGCGTGTGTGTTCTCGAGTGGTACACCGCGAAAAGAACACACGCTGCGTCTCGCGTGGTTACGAAAGTTTAGGTACATATATCGGTCGCGCGCGCTAAATTTCTCTCAGGGATGCGTTCGCGCGCGTGCACGCGTGTTTCGGGTGAAAATTAGGCTAAGGGGTAAACGTACTTGAAGATATGTATGCGGGCGCCTCGTATATCTCACGTCAAGAAGCTCGAGCAAGAGAGAGAGAGAGAGAGAGAGAAATGTTTGACGACAAAACAGAATCAAAACGCCAAGCGCACACTGCGCTGCAGCAGCGGTATACCCACACCAGCCACCCCGTATCATCATAAACTTGCGGTACGCGCGAGGAGCAGTTTCGTCGCCGTCACTTGCGAATTGCGCGCGCTTATATTACACGATATGTGCGTGCGTGTGTGTGTACACGCACACGCACAGGTGTAAAGCTTTAACGCCGTGATGCGTCGACTATGTATACGTATTTAGAGCATCGTCGTCGTCGTCGTCTCTCTACCTACGCTCCATGCCTATTGTACTCGTGTCTCGTGCACAAAGCTCCCGGAGTAGAGCGCGTACTAGTATGTAATCCGCGCCAAGGCCGTGCAGCGCTTTATATCAACTACACAAGGGGGGGGGGGGGGGGGGGGNGGGGGGGGGGGGAAGCACATACAACTACACCAGTGACTGTGCGAGAGAAAGAGAGAGAGAGAAGCTAGATGCGGCTCACTATCTGTTAGCTGCCTCGCAATCCAAAAGCTACTCGTGAGCACGCGTGCGTGTATATTTGTCTATGTGACCTTTTTCGGCTGTCGTTGCGTACCTTTATTTTCTTTGTGTCGCGAGTTAGAAATATATTTATTTATTTTCTTCTTTTTTTTTTGTTTTGTTTGTGAACAAAGTTATGATACGCTACGAGAGACAATTTTAGTAGAATCTTAATCTGAACATTCCAGATTTTTGTTTTTTTTATACTTTGCATTATATAACTACAGTAAAACTTCGATAATTCGAAATTCTCGATAATTCGAACAATATCATAATTCGAAATTTTGATAATTCGAAATGAAATTTTGCATTTAGAGTCTAGATACCATATAAATTTACTTCGATAATTCGAAATGATGTTGAGTTCAATCAATTATACGGAGAAAGTGGTAGTGTGAACTATGAATCAGCCGCAGCTTGGATGATATCGCTAGATCCAATTTTAAAAGAATACGAGTATGTAAGACATTGTTCAGATAACATTGCATAACCTACAAGTATATGTATATGTTTACTTTTCCACTTGCAGATATACAGAAAAAAAGTACTCGCCATCTAGCGGTGGAGACTTGAATTAGTATTATCGTAGTTAAAGTGATGAAAAAACATGTCTAAACTGATTGAGACAGTTATTTTTACAGAAAAATCCCATTAAATAAGCCGATTAATGGTAATGATATTTAAAAAAAAACGAACATTTTTCGATCATTAGGCCATTATTAATACTGAACATTTCTACCAGGGTTATGTATAGCAACAATGCTGCGATCGTGCCAAGTACTTCTCTGAACGAAAATTTTCCGGAATTCAAAACTCGATCGAACAAAAAGCTCGAAAATAAAAAAGAAAGAAAAACAAAGCTAAGCACAAAATAAAACACATGCTCTCCTCTCGCAAGCTTTGAGTCCATTCAAATAATCCCATCCTATAGAGACGCGTTAGAGTATAGTCGCGGCGGTAGGAAACAGCAGCCGCACCACCAGCGCCAGCAACCAACGGAAACGTCTTCGAATTCGAGAAAAAAGCTCCGCACACCGGTGTTCACGTGTGTGTCTGTAGGGGTGTGCAAGAGAAAACAGAGGCTCGCTAGGTGCAGCTGTGTACGCGCGTATAGGTGTACATACAGAGAGACATAGTGGTGTTGGTGGTGCTGCTGCACACGTACACACACGCATATAGAGCCGACTCGACAACGTCGCCGCGCGTGGAAACTGCCTTCCGTATATAGCGGAAACCTTTGGCTTGTGCAGCTACGTTATATATACCGGGCTGCTACACTTGGAGGAGAGTACCTATATAGGTATATAAGATGGGTAACTACTATCCTTACCTTTAGCGCGTTAGAGAGAGAAAGCACAGGATGCGATGTTTCCCAGAGACTGCGCCTGAGACGAGCGAGAGAGAGAGAGAGTGAGAATACGTGTACGTGTGCTGGTCTGCATGCATGTATGTGCAGTCTCGAGTCCGCGCGTGTGTTTTTGTTCCTATTTGCAGCCAGACACGAATCGTAAGGAAGATAATGGATACGTGTGCGCTCGCGCGTGTACAAAAACGCCTCGGCGCTCCATAATGCAAGGTGTACATGCCGTCGATCGTTTGTCTTTTTCGTCAAATACTCGCAACAAATCCACGACTCGACTTTTTCCGCATCTCCGTCGCTTTTTCCTTGCACTTATGCTTCTTCCCGACATACATCCGTGTAATAATCGCGGCGAACCCAAAGTTATTCCGAACCTGCGTACGGTACGATACGTGTGTTTGAGCACGAGTGCGCGCATCGGTATACGTCACGCAGTGTACACATGTATGGGCCAACGGCGTTTGTGCATGTGCGCGTGGTATATATGGCGTGTGTCACCCGAACAAACATAACTTTGGCGACGCGCGCAATTGTGTCCGCCTCGTATATAACTATTATATATATATATACGGCCGACGCGCTCCGATGTTTGTCATCGGATGAAACTTGGTTTACTTACTCTCGTTTCACTCTCTTGCTCTCTCTCTCTCTCTCTCTCTCTCTCTCTCTCTCTCTCTCTCTCCCAGGTGTGGTTTGCTCGTTCGCGTATATTTTAATTGCCCATGAGAGGCTCGTTAGAAAAAGAATCGCGTGTATAATAACGCGTGTCAATATTATGTATGTATAAAAGCCGAGCTAGACTGTGATCCGCGTGTGCAATGATGCAAATTCGATTAGCTCGTCGGCGCAGTTTTTTTTTTTTTTTGTTTGCCATATATTTTTATCTATCGAGAAACGAGCGCTAGTTGGAAAACTAGCCAGACTAGTTGAATCTATATGCGTATTTTTAATTTTTTTTTGCTCTCGTCTTCTCGTGTGTGACGCGACTCTTTTTTTTACTTTTACGAATCGCATATGCGAATTCATTTGATATTTATCCTCGTTTATTAAGATCGTCGTGGCACGTACTTGGGTAATAAACTGCTAAATCTTGGCGCGAATTTGCCTCCTGCTTGATGTTTACGTCAAGAAATTCGGTTGGCTGCCTAACGATTCTAATCAAGGGCGGGAGATTATTCATCTAGGTCAAATATCAAAACTTTCTATAACATTATAAACGCGCGTCGTGTACGAAGACGACAGGCGAGTTATACACGCAGACAGAGTAACGTACTGCTACGAAGTAAATTGTATATTCAGCGGCAATGGCACAACAATCGTACAAGCTCGTATACATATACAATGTATAATACGGGTCGTCTACGCCAGCTGCAGCCGTGTAATTAGTAACTATAACTCCGTGTGTACCGTATGTACAGCGATGAAAATCCAGTTCAAGTCCCTTACACACACACGCACACGCGTCACGAGCGCGGCTCTTGATAATCGTTTCAATTACGCGGCTTACTGAATGAGAGATCGATTGTATCCTTGCAAGTTCGCGGGAAAAATTGGCGCACATTTTTCGCTCTTCGACATTTTCGGTACAAATACAAGGATCGTTGAGAACTCGTGAACGTTTCTCGGGTATGCATATTACGATCACAAGTATTCGTACTGCGCGTATATGTGTGTGCGAATTCGAGAGAGAAAGACATTATTACAAAAGTACATATTTGCGGCCGTTTGCAAAACGTCATCCGCGCGCTGAGGCCGAGCGAGCTCGAGGAACAAAAAACAGAGTCATATTCGTAGTAGTATGTTACGCGGCGCGGCTCGTTTCAGCTGCAGGCGCGCGTAAAACATAAATTGAAATTTCAGGAGGCGCAGCACTGTACACTATATACTATAAAAGAGGTGCGCATGCACCTCTGTGCGGAGCGCAGTATAGCCGCGCGTTACATGCCTTATAAATTTTCGACGCTAACGACCCCGACTCGTTTTCGCGCGCAATTCATACGTATATAGAGCCGCCCTCGCTCATAATTAATCGGTCGTGCCGGGCGATGCCGATGGGCACACGCAGCACACAGCACACAGCACAACGTCATATATACGCTCTCTCTCTGTGAACTTTATCTCTCTCGCGTATTATACTCGATTCTTTTCTACCTTTCTCTTGGGCGAGCACATTATTATCGTGGCCCTTTTTCGACTGCTTTACGCCCAGGTAATTCGTGTATTTTTCTTCGCGCGCTGCTGCGTACATACACACATATACATAGCAACCCGTTCGCTCGCTCGCTCTCGGGGCACGTGCTCTTTCCTGCGCTTTAGTTTTTTACCATAATATATAAATGCGGAAAAGGACTGTACACACGTAAACAGAGCGTACGCGTGTACATGTGTTTTTCTGTGGATATATATGATTTTATATACGAATATACGTGTGCAGCTTGTATACGCTCGCTGCACTTCTCCTCCTCTGCTTGTGTTCTATGGAGCGAACAACTTTGGCGGAGCCGCGCGCACCGAAGAAAAAATTCGAATGCGCACATAACTACGTATACCAGAATTTCGTGTTTTTTATATTTGCGAAGAATATTTTTACTCGAGGTTGACGAGAAATATATATAAGACAAGTGTACGCGCGCGCTTGTTTGCTTATCGCGTGCGCGCGCGCTGCGGTTCAAAGAGTATATGTACGCGCTCAAGTGTTACAAGGCTGATTTAAACGCGCGTGCGAATTTTCGAAACGCCGCGCGCAAATCTCATTTTCGAAAATGTAAAGTTGTGTGTAATATTCTGCTTCGCGGGCGCGCGGTATAAAGTTTTAATCGAAAATCTCGTCGACGAGTTCGCGTTGTAAGCTCGATCAAGAGAGAGAGCGTATAAGTCAAAGTTGGCGCGTGTAAGTTTTCTTCTTCTTTTTTTTCTTTCAAATAAGTGTATGAGCAACGCGTATACACGATAAGAAATTACCCCTGAACTGACGGCTGTTTAATTGCTAAAAGTCACCAGCTGGAAATAGATATACAGTCACGCGAAACGTCGAGAGACACGAGTGCACTGTACTATATAAGAAAAAGAGAGCTTTTCCATCTATGCGCGCGCGCGCGGCAGCGGATCCCTTTTCTTTCCTTTTGACTGCATCGGGGTACTTTTGGCCTTTGGACGAGATCCAGCTGCGAGCGGAAGACCTTCCGCTTTTTCTCTCTTTCTCTCTCTCGCTTTTTTTCCAACTTGGCGTATATTACCCCGGACAGCTTTTCCTGTGCTTTTTTTTTGTTTTTTTTTTTGTAGTTTTTTTCATGTTTTGTTTTGTTAACGAACGAGTTTAGCGAGAACAATTTATGGTTTCGTTGATAGCGCAACAAACCGACTTTACATACACACGCCGCGTTTGCCTTTGTTTGTAACTCTCTCGCACGCTTGCGCTTTTTAAAATTATCAACTGCCCCGAAGTAATGAATTATAGCACTGAATTTCGGTGAAATACTCACTTTTAATCCAGCATCACTTGAAAAAAATAATCACCGTATGACCACTCGAGCAACTATAACCGATGTACAAATGTTGTTGAGGAAGGCACGATAGATGAGACACGATCGAGACCAGAAGCTTAAAAAAGCCGTACTCCAAACGACGCGTCGCCTTATAAAAGTTCCTCGATCGGCAAAGAGACGATTTTTCGAGTGCGCGCATACATTTGATTATTAATGCGCTTCTGTGAAAAATTGACAAAAACAATCGAGCGAGACGCACCTGTTCCTCCCGCTGCGGCTGCCGCTGCTGCTGCTATTGGAGCAAAGAAGCGCTTAACTTGCTCTGCTCTTTTTTGCCCATCGAGAAAAAGACACGCTGTGTGCTGCAGTTACGTGTGCGTGAGCGAGAAATGCGTTTTAAGAGAAATAAAAATTTTCTAGATTTCAACTTCGGATGCAATCTCGGAGCGTCATTTTTGGATTTTAAAGGCGCTCGAGAGATCGCTCGATTTGAAATTGATGAATTTTTTGCTGAGTGATTGCATCGATGATCGGTCACTCGGCATGAAGTTAGAGCACTTTTGACGCGAAAGACAATTACGCAAATCGAGTATAAGCGTGAAAATTTCCAAGATTGTTTATAACTTTGAAGCTGATTGCACTTGGCTGGCTAGCTGGATGTGTGTCACAGCCGAAACATCGCGCGATACATCGGATCTCGCGCAATAAAAGCTGCGACTTTGACGAATTTCGGAATATAGTCGTAAATAATACCCTCCAGCGTGATGATAACGGGTGGGCGTGCTCAAAGTGTCCACCCGAATTTGCATCGATATAACGAAATTTCCTCGGCTATCAACCATAAATACGTAAAGCGAATTGCACCGCTGCAGCTCGAGACTTTTTAAAAAATGACCATCGTCGTCGTAAATTCTTGCGATGTGTAACGCGCGTTGGCGAAAAAAAAGAATACAGAAGAGTGCGATAACATTTTTGTTAAATAATGCAAAATTCGTGGCGCGACGAAATATTTTTTGACAGGTATTTGTGGACGCGAGCCTTTTTTATTATTCACCACGATATCGCGCGTCGAACCGGTTTCTATCTAGTATTATCGTACAGTCATCTCTAGTGGTCGCATCGATACACTTTAGATTTTCAATAAATTGTTATTTATAAATAAAATTCGCCATTCGAAGTAACGTAATGTCTAGACTCGCAGAGATTGTTGTGGCGCACGTAATCCTTGCGTTTCAAACGAGGTAGAAAAAAAAATTTTTTTTCGGATGATCCGTCTGCGGTTATACAATGCGCATGATTTTGCACGCGTTCTTTTGTTCTCTATTATTTTTCACAATTTGTCATCTCAGGAATTCCTTTTAACTGCGTTGCATGCACGTGGAGTTGTGAAAAACTGATAGTTCGCCTATGATACATTAATCATTCGGAAGAGTTTTCCTTCGAAAAGTTTCGGGATATTTTGAAAAAAAAAAATGACAAAATACATAACGCACGTGTATAACTTTGTAGAATTGTTGATTAGTTCCAGAAGTTTGTTTAATGCAGTCGCTATACATATCTCTCTCTCTCTCTCTCTCTTCCCATTTTGGATAAGCACGAGCGAGCTGCGAGCGCAGTAGTTGCTCGCGCAGTCTGACAAAATTAATGTTGTTATTAACAATTCACTCGACTTCTTGGCTTGAGCTCTGTGCACAGTGCAGCGTGCGCGCCGTTGCTTATAAATACACTGCCGTGTTCAGGTATGACTCCGTGTGCTTGCGCCCGACATAAAATCACACTCGTGTCTCTGCTCACTCTTGTAATTATTATTAATACGACTTTATTAAATAATTATATCATCGTGCGTAATTGGACCTCATTTAAACTTTGAACCGTGCGCGCGCGCGCGTGTGTATACATTATGTCGCGCGCTCGAGTTTCAAAAGTCATTTTCAGCGCGCGTACAGTGGCATTAAAGGACAACTTCTGAATCCCAAACAATTATCCAGCGATTTAAAACTTTTTTTCCTTTTACCCTTCTCTCAACAGACCCGACGAAACAAAAATCCCTCCAATGCGTTTACTCTTTCTCTTGTTCCGATCAATAGTGTAATTTCCAAGAAACCGAGGGAGTATAAGGTGGAAAAAAAGGAAGAAAATTTCCTAACGCAAAAATGAATCGAATCGCGGCATTTAGCCCAAATGGAAAATCGCTTGGAAAGCCTCGGCTGGGTAGAAAACTTTTCCATGCGCACAGACAAACGGGTGGGAGCAGCGGATCGACTTGGTCGCGAGAGCCCTGAAACGACGCGAGATCTTTAGTCGCGGCAGGGCCCTGCTTCGAGTGCCTATATATATGCTACTACGAGGCGCATATACGCGAGCGACACAAAAGAAGATCTCACGTTCGAATTAAGTCAAATGGACTCTCGCGGTTAAATGCCCCTTCGCTCGATCGCGCCACCGCCCGCCCGCATTAAAGAAAAGAGCTTGCGACGCTGATTGCGAATGCGCTCGCTCGGCTCGCGTCGCGCGCCTCTAATGAGGCGATTACTAGCTGGGTGAGCGCGCGAATTACGATTCAATTATTATACCCAATGCTGACTTCGTCTACGGCAAAAATCGTAAGCGGAAAGTTCGAGAAACGCCGATTTCCATTCGACGATCCTCTTTTTTTCATCGTCTCACACTTATATACATATTTGAGAGTAATCGATATGCGTTTGCGTGTGTTTTCAGGTTGGCGTACGGCTGTGTGCGAACTATACCGGAACTGACACCAACGACGCACACGGTAAGTACTTTGAAATGCAGATGTATTTTTATAAGGGATATAATATACGCGGATCAAGCGACGACGACGCGGTGATGGACGAGGACACTCGGGCGGTATGCGGAGCGGAATTTGTATTCCATATACGATGATACTTGAGAGCCTCGATGTATTCACCTTGCCAAGCGGAGAGTTCAGAAACGAGAGAGACAGTATAGAGGGGTAGAGATAAACGTTCACGTGAAGCTTTTAATAGTGCGAACTTTAATATGCCCGCGTGTATGTATAGAACGTGTGTATAGCACGTATAGACTCAACGGATTTCTAGTGCTCGAAACTTTTAAGTCGCGCCAGTGCAGCGCTCCAGACCCTTCGAGCTTCGCTCGGCGCGCCAAGACGGATTTGAAACTAAAAGTTTGTTGCCGCGCGATCTGTAATATGCATGCATAGCGGCGGACAGGATATCAGCTGCTAAATGATCTCGCGATCGGTTGTATATAAAGCTCGATGTCGAAAGACCGCAGCGCATGGAGCTAACTTCGATTCGAGAGTTGCTAATACTTCTCGCGCGAAAAGAGATTTCCTGTATTTGTGTAGCGCTCTTGCTAGCACTTGAAAATTTTATTGTTACCCGAGCGCGTTGACATTTTCACCCCACGAGTGAATCATTGCGAGGACAGCGTCGTTCGTAGACGGGTTGGTGTGACAAAGTGATATGTTCGCGAGACTCTCAATTCAGACTGAAGGATATTGATTTTATCTTTGTTGAAAATTTATTTCATAGGTCCACGATGTATATCCATCGGTTGGTGTATGACGAATCTTTTTGATTCGACTCGACGGACTCGTCGCTCTGTGTAACGATGCAATATATAACTGGCGTTACTTTGACTCGGTGCCTCTGGCATGCGCTCTCATACATCTTTGGATCCTTGTCCGCGTGGTTTTATACGAGCGATTCTATAAAAGAAAATCCTTAAAATTCGAGGCTAAGATCGCGATTGAAATATTTGTCACTTGATTGACGGGTGTAATCAACGTTGATGATTGTTTAATACAAACCATAGGAAAATGGGGAGATATGTAAATATCTATAAGTATTTTTGTATTCCAAAGAATACAAAATATCGACAAACTCAAAAAACACACCGAATCCTGTTTCACGCTTACTAAATCTATACAAATATTTTGTTTACCAACAAATCTTTTTCGGTTCAGGCTCTATTGACTTCGTTCGACATTCAGTGAAACTCCTTAATAATGAACTTGCACATAACGAGAGCTCGTGTTTACAGCGAGAAAATCTGAAACAATTAGTTGGTATATGAACGATATTTCAGTTATAACGAAACGGATATAACAGGAACTCGGGTACAATGAGCTAAATTTTATCAAAATTTGATTTCTAACAAAATATACACCATTCCAAGTCCCTCTGAGATGTCGCACTTTACTTTTGACCAACAGGTACTCTAATACCTAAACCGACCGATAGATGGCTTTATGATAATTTTCATGAAATCCTCTTGCAAAATAACGAAGATCAAAAAATAATAAGAAAATTTTCAAAGGATATTTAAAAAGACAATCCTTTGTTTGCTCTATCTGTTTTAGTTAATAGTTTAACAATATTCATATTTACTTCTCCTCCCTTAGTTTAGTCAATTATATAAAAATTATCCGTCGATATAAGGGGAACCACGACTGATAAGTTAGAATTCAACTTATTTTATAAAAACTCTAACAAGATCGACGTCTCGTCAGTCGGACGTTGACCTCTTCAGGGTTAAAATAGTTCAAAAATTAAAATTATTACATGTGGCCAATTCGAATCTTCGAACAGAGATTTGATATTGAGCTTATTTCTAACTTATCTGCTATGGTTCCTCGTGTATTGGTGGATAATTTTTATACAATTGACTGTACTCGTACGGTTAGCACTTATGCTTCGTCGGAAGTAAACTGACTTAATATTTTACGATATCGTTCTACAAGAGAAGAGCTACAAAAAGTGACTAAAATAATTCTAATCATGATTTTATCCTCTAAGGATTTTTCACAGAATTGCTCGTGTTCACGAGCACGTATACGTAGTATACATAGTAGGCATCCACCGAATCCCCGAATTGTACAAGATACAGGAGACGCGGGCCGCTCAAAGTCTGAAGGCTCACTCGATGTTGCAGCCACTGCACACGGTTGGGGAGGCCTTTGTCAGACAGAGAGAGAGAGAGAGAGAGAGAGAGAGAGAGAGAGAGAGAGAGAAGCGCGAGGTATGTACACATAGAAGGACAAAAGCCAAGCCGATTTAATTACTCCGAGAGGAATCTTCTGTATACGCGCATCCAACGCGACTGTTGCGCTGCTGCTGTTGTACATCCTCGAGCGTGTGTGTGTTGGAGTCGTCGTCATCATCATCATATAATTTCTCTAGAATAACTTTTTAACCGCACGGATACGAGCGTATACGGCTTATTGAATCCAGAGATGCGCTATTTATAATAATATGCATGTAATCTTTAATTTGGAAGTTTTTTGCTATTCACTATGACCGACAATAATTACCGAGTGGCAAGTAGCATACACGTACATTTTTTCTTGTTGTTGTTATGGTTTTTCATGCTTTTCATGGCATTCCGCGCAAGCGAGCACACGCTTCTCATTCATAAATGCACTCACACACAAACACACACTTTCTTTTAACTAATGCCGCGTGCGCACCCGCGCTCACAGCTCATTTACTTTTTATACTCTCTCTCTCTCTCTCTTTTCTACGAGCTTATACATACCCTCTCGCAATGGCATTCATCATCCTATTCATGGCTTGGTTTCCTTTCACTGCGCGCGCGGGCTTTTCTGCGCCAGGGTGCCGCTGCCGCGTTCCTCTGCCCGGGCGAGATGACCAAAAATGTCTTCGCGCGTGCGTAACCCTACACTGGACAAAAATAAAATTTTTCTTTTCTTTATTCAAACTTTTAACATGATCCGTATATTATACGCCGTGTTTATAGCATGTCCTTGAATGAGAGCGTATAATCCGATGCCACGAGTTTATCGTATAGTCTCGCGTGAAATAGAAAAATCCTCCTCTTCTCCTTTTAAAAACACAAGTGACTTTATACACTCGCGCTCGCCCCGACGATCAATTACTCTCCAACGCAGAACTTATTATATACGTAGTATACGCTATACATGCAGGAGCCGACGCGTGGAGGACCTTCGGCATTGCGGATGTAAAATGCAAATGGAATAAAAAAAATCACGAACTAACTCGATTTTCCGCGCCCTGTATAGCTGCGGCTATCAACCGCAGCAACGGGGAAACGGCGTCACCGCCGCCACCACCACCAGCGAATATAAATTGCCACGCACTTTTCTGCCCATAAAAAGCGTCATATAAACACGCATCGCGCGCGCGCGCACACACCATGGGCGCATGGAGGGTTCGCGAAGAGAGACAGCTCAATTATAAAACTCAATTAAATCTACGCGTTAGATATTATCTTTTTCGTGCTCTTTCTCTCTCGCCCTATCATTCGCGGTGAACTGCATCTTTTAAGCTGTGTACGCGGTTAAATATAATACGCGCGCGCGAAGCGTGTGGAGAAATGAAAAAGGACGACAATTTTTAAGCACACACAGCGGCCCAGCTCGTATGAATTGAAAAAAAAGCAGGTACCGCGCGCGCGCGACGTGGCAAGTGCACCCTTGTGCTTTTGCGGGTGGGCGTCGTAGTACACCGTACGGTACCGGAATAACTTGTCTCTGACGCTCGCCAGCCATTAAACACAACCGCGTGATATTTTTCACTCTCTCTCTCTCTCTCTTGTTTCTTTCGTTCTTTCTTTCGAAAGCCACACACACACGAGGGCGCAATACACTGCACCGCCGCCACCACCACCACCACCTACCGTGGCCCTGCGAGTATGTATATGCTGCTGCGTGCGCGGTAATTTTGTAAACAACTCTCGCGAGATTACGATCCGCCGCGCTCGGCGCGTAAATGTATGTACAACCGCGCGCAAAGGCAATGGAATTGGGCAACGCCAAAATTTTAATCATATGCAGCTCGTGAAAATTATCTCGGGCATAAGCCCTTTCGATGATATACATAGAGAGAGAGAACGCATACGTATGTATAGAAACGCGATGATGTTGGCGATGATGATCAATGCGCGCCGTATTTGGATGTACACCGATGCTTCTATTTCTATCGCTGCGTGAATGTGCAATCATGGAAATTATTCTTCCCGGCGTACATATCCCGAAAGCATATCGAGTGCGCTATTACTAAATATGTGTCGAATTCGATGTATATAACGCTGCTATATATATACAAGCGCGGTGTTGAACACGCCTTCGTTACAGCAACCTGCAGCGCGCGCGCGTCACTCGATATGCTGCGTTCTCCGAATCGAGAGCGGCGGAAATGCAGTTTCATGTGCGGTTTTTTTCGGCGAATTTTTGCATTTTTGTTACGATACAATTATTTCGAATTTACACGATGAAAAGTTACGCGTTGCGATTCACAAAAAAAAAGTAAAAAAATAAAAAAAAAAAATAGTGGCACGGTTCGATAAATAGCGTGTACCCAATAATCCGCATTCAATTTCCGGCTATTCGGGACTAATCACACTTTACTTATACGCGGTGCGCGAAACAAATAACTCTCGGGCAGACCTCGAATATCCGGCGAAATAATTTCATTACTTTGTCCGCAGAATATATACACGTGTTTAGTTAATTTCCCCGGAGTAATTAGCGAGTGAGTTATAATGTTGCGCGCGGTGACAATTTACACCGATCGGTTTTCGCTTTTTCTAAAATAAATTTTGGGCTCGGGTGTTTGCGAAATCCGCTTTGGCTGTAATTCAATCGCTTTGGGCAACAACGAGCAGCCGCAAAATAATATAGAGGATCGCAAATAAAGATATCAACTCGTAAAATGTCAACCGTTAGCAGGTTTACGCGAGCTATTTGGCTAATTTTGCAAATTTACTTGGGAAATAAGTTGCGAGACT